TATGATAGTAAACCAGGCTGAGAAGTAATGTAGAAAGCAAAACGTAATGTCATTTCATTTGTCATGCAATGTTTCTTCTCACCAACTTGAGTTTTGTAATGTTCTCCCTCGCAGCCAGGTGCGGGGTCCATGCTCCGTACATGTACGCCCAGTTCCCGACTGTGACGTTCCCTAACCACTACACCATCGTCACGGTAAGCGCGGCTTCGTCAGACTGTTCTCGGTCATCAGTCTTGGAGCCCTGTGTCCCGTTTAATTAAACTTTAAGGCCACGTAGAAAAAAAACGGTTAATGTTCCCAGTATAGACCGACCTGGTATGTCTGTTAATGTAGCTACGTGGAAACGAGACAGATATGTGTTCTTCCAACTCAGAGGACCTCTCATTCTAACGCCAAAAGTACAAAACTCTTTATTATCTGCATTCAATTTTTGAATTGTTTCTACAAACCTATCTCAATCGGTCGTAGGCTTGGGAACACTTAGTGAATCGCTGTTATGGCCGATTTCTAGGGACTATATGGCGAGTCCAACGGAATTGCTGAAAACAACATGTACGACTCTGTCTTCAACACGTCCTTCTGCCTGGGCTGTAACGAGTCTTTCGTCCCTGCCTGGTGGGGAGGAGAACCGGTAAGTAGAACGGCGATGTGGAGTGTGTCTGTATGTGGATGGCGTTCAGCACCATGGACAGGTCTGTTTTGTAGATTAAAGTGTAGAAACTGTGACTTAAGAGTTTTAGCAGCAGAATTGTCCTAGTCAGAGAAGATATCAGCAGTTTAGAACTCAGTAAATTATATGTCTATATATGTGTGTGTGGATGGCGTTTAGCACCAGGGGACAGGTCTGTTTTGTAGATTAAAGTGTGGAAACTGTGACTTTAAAGTTTCAGCAGCCGAATTGTCCTACTCGGAGAGGGTATAAGCCGTTTAGAACACAGTATACCAGGTTATGTTAGACTGGCCTGTATTTTGCAGTTGTGGAACACCGTGAAGAAGCAGGGTAAGCGGTCAGGGACGTTTTTCTGGCCAGGCTCGGACGTCAGCGTAGATGGCATGTACCCAGACTACTACCGCCGATACGACGGGTATGAGGTCCGATGTGTCAGGATAGCTCGGTTCACGCAATCATACAATACTTGCATTGACTGCAAAAGCCTGTACATTCGTCCTTGAATGTGTAACGAAACGGTTAATTTTTCATTCAACGACAGTAAAACTGCCCAAGAAGACCACTCATGGAACCAATAAAATCTAGTCTATGTGAACAAGTGGGTCACTATAGACAGGCTTGTCAATGGGGAAAATCATTTAAAAGATCACTGAAAAGTGGTCACATTGGTTAGGTGGTCACTTGGACATGTTTGGTTGTACGTGTATCAGGATAGTGACGGTAATAAATTGAAACTTATTTGGTTGTTCCCAAAGGCTCCTTTAGATCAGGTAGACTCTGTTCCTTAAACAATGTCCGATACCTTGAGATCGTTTCCTCAAGGGACGTTCAGACAGATCTGGGGGTGTTGAGGTATCCATGTACGAGACGATGTGTTCTCTACTTTTAAGTCCAGTTACACTACCTGTATCTCATTTTCCTTTGTGCTGCTTATCTTGTGCACAATTGTACATCTTGACATTCGAAATAGACGCAACTACTCGCAGGATGCCAGTATCTTATTGATTTGATTTGCAGAACGGCTGATGGGGGCCAGAGACTGATTTTTGAAATGCCTGATTACACATACCAAGGACGTTCATGATCCGTGTGTTTATATCCCACAGGATCGTGCCTTACGAGGACCGGGTAAACCAGGTCTTGGAGTGGTTAGATCTACCTGAAAACACGAGGTACTGCGTATTTTGTTTTGCGTTGTCATTCGAACCCTGGGGGGGGGGTCAATCACCACAGTCTTTAGATGTTGGTAAGGTGGTGATGTAACAGTGATATACCTGACTTCACGAATAACGGGCATCTTTTTCCCGAACATTTCTAGGCCATCCTTCATGACGCTGTACTTCTCAGCGGTGGACACAACAGGGCACATATATGGACCCGACTCTAAAGAAGTATGGATCCTTATGTTCATTTCAAAAATGTTTATTGCAAACATTTAAAAAACGTCGTAGGCCAATTTCTAAAAGCAGTTTGGTGTTTTAGCTAACTTGGATGTACATTGTATCATCACTGATCAAAATTGTTTTCAAATCAATGACGGTGTCACAATTACGCGAAATAGTTAATAAACATTCCTACTTTTGACAAACTTCTGCTTAAACTGAGTTCGAATTCGTTTCTCTCTGGCCCTCCGTATGTCAGATTAGGGAAGCTCTTAAAGAGATTGACTGCACGATGGCACAGCTTATGGACGGGCTGGCGGAGAGAGACCTGCTCGGCTGCATCAACATCATCACGGTGGCAGATCATGGTAAGGCATGCAGGAAGGAAATAAAACATTACTGACACCAGGGACATTATTCAGACTAGGATAACAGCTGGGTGGGTTGTACATGTGTACTTTACGAAGGCAAAAATATAAAGTCACAGGAAAAAGAAAAGTAAAAATGTCACACTCTCAAGCCCCGAGGATCCTTCCTCCCCGTTCCCACAACTGTAACAGCGAAGCTTTACATTGAAAACACGGTTTTAATTTGTGTTTTGTTAACGTTCGTTAACTATGTACATGTTGCTCTATGGACTACAGGAATGGCAGACACAAGCTGTGACAGAGTCGTCCGACTTGACAAGGTACGTGCAACATGCAATGGGAATGAGGCCATACTATAACTAACAAAAGTATATATTACTAGAAACCTTCATATAAAAATCGACGCTTTAAAAGAACTACCTGTACACAGTCCCATACATTTACAAAGTGACATGACCAAGGGAAAAGGTATCAAAAGTGCAGTTGATATAATGTACAAGATAACAAACAGGAAAACAGCATCGACACTCCAGACCTTGCTTTCTTGTAAAGAAGTCCTCCATTTGCCCTATGTCGTAGCAGTCGATGTCCGTCTTTCCATCCACAAGGAGATGAAGCGATTTTCTAGTTCAGAAAGCGTAAACAGTTCAGAACCCAGGCCTTCATTCAAACAGTAAAGTTTCAGGTCGTTCACAGCCTTTATTGCCATGCTGAGGTTATTGATGGGACCAGTACATATATCTTCAAGACTGTTGTCCTCCTCCATTGCATTTTCACCCTCTTCTGGTTCCTTTTTCACCGTCGCCACGTCTGGTAGTGTTTCGGTTGGTAGGTCGCTTTCCTCTCCCCCGTTAGCCTGGTCTTTCTCGGCCGTTGCAATGCTCTCGGCGTTACTGTCGTTTACATCAGAATTGCCCGAAGTTACGTGTACGCTTGTGATACTAAGCTCTTTCTGGTCACGATCTGAGACCAACACATCGTCTAGGTGGTAGCTATCTGTTGATTCCTTGCTTAGACCGATGTCTGGACGTTCCCAGTTCTCCGGAGATATGTGTTCACCTGTGGTACTGGGATCCCGTGGCGTCCGGACTACCGCCTTGTCTACGCGATCACCGCCACTCGGCTTGCTTCTGGCACTGATATTGTGGCGCCTCTTGAAACACTCCAGCCACCCGTTGGATGCCTTGAAACTAGTCACGCCCAGGTCTTTGGCGAAGGTCAAAGCCGCTCCCTGCAACATTGGCCCATTACAGGACTTACCTCGTGATGCTCTGTCACGGTAGAATCTCAAACACAATTCATTGATTTGCTCATAGCCCGTGGTGCAGTTTCTCCTCTTGGTTTCTGGCACGTTGTTGGCGAAGTCGTCTAGGTACTCTCTCTTTCTCTTGACGATGTTCTCTATCTGAGTCTTCCCCACGCCGAACTGCTTCGCCAGTTTCCTCGACCCTCTGCCGCCCTTCTCGTACTCTCTGATGACCTCGATTTTCTGTCTCAGTGTCAAACACCTCCTCTTCACGTTCTGTCTTGTAACCGTTGCCATCACGTCGTGTGTCGTCGTGTCAAGTACAAGACTGGAATCAAACAAAACGGCTCTCTTCTCTTTAAACCTTGCACAACATTGTCTGTAAGCTCGCTCGGCAGGTGGTTGTTTTGAATGAAGCATTTGCATTCAAATAACTATAGGAATTTGTATGCAAATAGATCTCAAAACTAATTAGGTACGTAAAATTGGTTAAACACCGATTCCGTAATTTGTTTGTTGATTCTTTATTCATGAGAAGCTCAAATCAGCCTGTAGCTGAAGGTCGCTTTTCATTCAGGTCATGTGGCAAGAGATAAGGGTCAGACAGAATATATCAAAAATATTAAGTTTACGTCATTTAAAGTCCTAGTAAATCGCCAGGAATAATAGAAAACAATCATGAATTCACGGGTTTGCTGTTGACTTGTTACTTCTTCCTCAGCTGACTGACACCAATGAGATGCACATCTACTCAGGGTCGGTGGGGAGAATCCGCCCGCTCAGGCCGGACATAGACAATACATGTGAGTTTGAACTCCGCTTCATTTTCGAGAGAAAGAATAAGGAAGTGTGAGTGTACAGCATTCGGTTACACACACATTACAAATAGTTACGGAAAGATAGAAAGACAAGAGAAGCGCAGGTTTGTGGGACTCAACGACCAAGTAGTAATTGTGCAATTGCTGGGATTATAGCCTGTGAACACAAGCTCTTTGTCCGGCGCCCACCCAAGAAGCCGGCGAAAAGAGAGGTTCAGTCAGGCTACTGGGATTATAAGTAGTTGTTTACATACTACATGTAGTATCAAACCAAGCACAGTGTAAACATTTTCAATGTTGTTCTTTATTACAGTTGATCCCATTGCAGTTGCAGACAGTTTAACGGTGAGTTTTCCCAGATCCGTCCAGTCCACAGTCTACTCTCATTAAGTATAATCACCTGTGAGTGACTGGTGTCTTAACAGTTTTTTTAGTGTAGGTAGTTAAGAGAATGAATTAGTGGCGATATGCTATCGTAGTCTACTTTTATCTAATTAACCACACCGATGAATGTGTTCCCGTTCATTGTCAGTTGCACTTCCTCTCTAGTGTTCAAGTCCTCACATGACTGTTTACAACAAACGAGACCTTCCCAAACGGTTCCACTTCGCCAACAACCGCCGGATAGAAGACGTTATTATCAGTGTGGAAGACAAGTGGCTTGTGGCCAGGTATGGCACGCGTTAACGTTCTCTTGTCGCTAACTTTTCATGGGGAGTGGTACTTCTTAAGAACCTTTCCAGTTAAAAATATTGTATAGAAGTCGCTTGACGTCAAATGGATTGACATATTTAAATCTGTTCATATCACAAAAGCGTATCTTAAATGAGCATTTGTACAAGAGTTTGACTTATGGGGTTATATTCATCGTAGCTTGTCGTCCGATTATGATATCGTATAAGTTTCAAGTAGGCTGTGAGAAAAAAAAAGCCCAAAAGAGTCTATTCAATTCGTAGTAAGACGACTGAATTTTGTACGGCATGTACAGTAGCTATCCCAAGAATGCCTTCATTTTCGTATGCCGATCGGTCGACGAACGTGACCAGGCCCTACAGGCGAATGTTGAGACAAATCCGCTGGTGTATATGTATTGTCGTACAGGGGTGCAGAAGACCACTATGCCACGGAGAGATGCGCCGGAGGGACCCACGGGTACGACAACGAGTACCGTAGCATGCATGTAGGTACTTTATCTTATACACTTCATCCTTCTGATTGAATTGCTGATTTTTCATAATGACTTATAAAACGACACAACCTTCCCTGTCCTGTAGGCCCTGTTTGTGGCACACGGCCCTGCCTTCAAACAGAACACAGAATCGCCGCCTTTTCAAAACATCGAACTGTACGACCTTATGGCAGGTGAGCTCGAGTTACATGAAAATAAAAGCATGGTGAAAGCATGGCCTATCGCGGTGTAACTTCCACTTCCATGCACTTCTATCCTCTTAACTTGAATAGAGGGTAATTTCCAGATTTTCGCAATACCCTGCCTCAGCAAGCACTTTTAAGCCGTGTGTGCGGCTTGCATGTGCAAAATTCTGTCGCTATATACACGAGTGCAACCGCTTTATGAAACTTGGTCGATACACAAGACGGCTATCACCCATTTCTTGTAATGTAGATCTGGTTGGAGTGACCCCGGCCCCGAACAACGGCACACGCGGCAGCCTAAACCACATCCTGCGGCAGCCCCCGCCCGTACCGTCCGAGCCCCCGCCCGCTCCAGCCGGCTCCTGCCCCTTCCCCACGGACTATGCCGCCGCTTCTCAGAACCAGGACTGCACATCAGCACCAGGGTCGTCCTGCACAGGGTTTGCTGTAAGGATTGTCACCTCAGCTTTGATATGTTATCTTTCGTTACAAATTAATCCACCGACGTTTCTCTGTATGGATTTTTTGTTTGTTTGTGTATAGTGTACTTAGTGAACTTGGTTGCCTGACCGTTCTCTGCAGAATTCTGCAACAGTTGAAGACTTTGACAGAGAACTGGACTTGACCGCTGCACAGGGTAAGCCACATTCAAACACTACGTTTGTTTTCTGAAGTTCCAGCACCATCACAAAATGTGCTGGTCGACAGATCGTAACACGTCATCATTTTTTGTCTTCTAGAGTCCACGTATCAGTCGCAACATCTCCCGTTCGGCGCCCCATCTGTCACCTTTGTTACGGGATACTGTCATCTTACGCAGAAGGATTATGTAGCTGCCTACAATAGGGACACATTCATGCCGCTTTGGTCTGCTACAACTCTGTCTGGGGTGAGTTAAGTATCAATTATCATGCGCAGGATCACATCTGTGAGCACATCAATATCAACTACAAGTCTAACTAAAGCGAGTGTTCATATGGCAACGTAACTAGGACATAGATACATACATACTAAAAGAAAGCATGCGCTGAATTTCTTGAAGTCGACATTTGAACTATGAGCTGCGGGTTTTCGATATAGGAGAGTTTGCGGAATCTTTTGCGTGATGGCACAAACAATTGGCAATTCTTACTTCTAGCAAGGAGCTTTCATCACAAGGAGGGAGATCGACCTTAGCCGCCCGCTGTGCTCCATTGTTTCGCCCCGCTGCGGCCTATTGTTTACAGGCCCGGCGGCACATCGTCAGATCTGTATGTTTGTAGCGCGTCTTCCCGCGGTTTTCGGCCGATAATGAGCTTAGGCATGACGTCACACGCCCCGATCTGCGCCGAGCACGGGCCGAGAAGGGCCGATGTGTCGGATTTTTCCGGCGATTCCCATATTTGGAAAACTCGGCAGGGTTACCCCGAGGTCATATTCGGGTGCGGAACAAGATGGCGCTTGTTTACGTACTTTTCTCTGTGCTGTACGATAAACACGGGCGATTTTAGAGCATTTTTTGTGGACCGGTCTCTGATTTCTAGCGATAGAAATATGAAAATATAGCTATATTTTTATGTGGCTGTAAGAAAAGTATGGATTTTTTCCTCGGTAAGTGGATATTTTTTCCTAACAGTTGAACATGTGCTCGTTCAAATGAGGGTCTGCATGGGGGGGTCCTGGCAACGGTTAACGGAAAATTCAGCAGGGCCGATAACGCTTAACGGTAAATTCAGGACGGTCGGCAACGCTTAACGGTAAATTGACAGGCCTTTTTTTCGAGCTGCACTGGATTTAGTATCTTGCTTTGTGAGAAAGGTGATCACTGACAAAATTACGTATACCTTACATGTAATGAAGCATGCATCTAAGGTATGTGTTCCCTGTGTTTCCCACCTGCCCTGGTCCCCGAGTGCGTCCACAAATAAAGGTGAGTCCGAGTCGACGTCGGCCAGCTTGCATGTTTTCAGTTTATGATTTTGAGAGGGCGCTCGTGATCGACTAGGGGGTCCGGGGGGATGCTCCCCCGGGAAATTTAGGATTTTTAAGCCTTAAAAAACGCAATTTACCGCATTTTGAGAGGCAAATCATGGTGTTGAGAGTGTTTGACGGTCCTTCTGATGTTTACATGTTTTTACTAAAGGTTTTTGTTAATTTGCCTGTCAAGGTTAACGTTGATGGATTCGTTAAAAAATTCTGTAACTCTCCGCAAACTTCCGGAAATTGACGGGAAAGCTGGTTCTGGCTCGGAGCCGAAGGGACCGAGCGCAGAAGCGCAAGTCGAGCGCCAAAGGCGCGAGCAATGCAGGGGGGTTCGGGGCATTCTCCCCCGGGAAATTTTGTATTTTCAAACCTTCAATGACACATTTTCCTGCACTTTGACAAACAAAATTAGGCGTAACGAAGAATTATTCATTAACGCTTAACGCTGAATTTAGGATGACAAATAACGTTTTACGTTGAATTAAAACGACCAATAACGCTTCACGAAGAATATACCGATAACGCTTAACGTTGAATTAGAGCGGGCCGGCAACGATTAACGGTAAATTAAAATAGCGCATAACGGTTAACGAAAAAGGGCATGCAGGCCCTCTCAAATGACGAGATCGTAGTAATTCGTACCGTTCTCATTTTTGTCGTACCGTCCCTGTTTTTTTGAGAATCTGTCGGTTCTTGAGGAAGGAGAGGCCGACACTTTGCGTGTAATTTTTGCGGTGATCGGGTCTTTATTTACAAGTACATGTACATCTTCGTCTCTCTCGTAATCTAGTATTTCTTCGGTCGATTTTGGTTGTGACGTACTGACCGAGATTTCAAAGTAACTTGCAATTCTTCACACCACAATCGCTACTTGTAAGTCCTTGGTTGTAGGAATATTACCGACAAATATTTAGAAAAAGGAATATGTTATGTTCTATTCCGCAGACCCCACATTTTTACTCTTGCTGTAGAAATATAAAGCGACCCATGCAGACAAATAAATGCAACCCATCTGCAGATGTTGTATAGCATTGATTCGAGAAATCATCGCCCGAGTAATACTCTTTTTCCTATTCTATCATTTCAAAATCCTCCTCAAACCTGCAAAAATAAAAATCGCTCCATAGACAATTCGCCATTACTAGGCTGTGACAGGTTGTAAACAACCTGAATAACAAAAGGAAGGCGCTAGCGCGCCGGCATGGGATTCATGCATATGAGTGTCATTGGCACTCGGGTGTGAATCAAATTTTCACACGCGCTACGAACATCCTTGAAAGGAAACTAAGGTCGATCTCCCTCCTTGTGATGAAAGCTCCTTGCTTCTAGGACACACAAATGTCATCAGGAGAAGTGACGTCACTATGTCGGCGGCATGACGTCAGAGTCCCAGCTGGTGACTCCCTAAACTGTACGGAGTTTGGTGACCTGGATATCGGCCACCTGTACTCACCGTGTAAGTCTGTCACCTGAAGTCATTAAACAGGGTGTATTTCTAAGGGATGTAAAGTCACACTGGCGTGAAACGAAAACAGGGTAACATTGGTTCAATACCTTAAAAAGCAAATTCTTTCAACGTATCCTTTGTATACATGTAAGTGTGTAACATAATACGCTCCTTTCTTAAAATAGCACGTTATTTTGCTCTCTTATCTTCGTAGATCAAAAGACTGGGGACGAGAGCAGCTGGATGAGTGCCCTGGTGACGAGTAACATGGTTCCACAATACAGGAGCTTCTCATCAAGTATGCGATTTTTTGTACGGGCGATGTCATGCAAGGCATTGTTCGAACGTTATCATATGATTGACTAAAAGTAATGACTAAAAATAAAGGACTAGCAAGGAAATAACGTTTATGAGGTACCGGCCATTTATTGGTCAAGAATTGTAGGTCCAACCATTATCCTTGGGGTTTCAGAACATAAATGCATATATTTCACATCTCGCACACAGTGTCCATTGGATGCTGTTTCAGTACCACGGACATTGACACTTTGTCCGCCATTTTGTTTCCCATCAGCCCTGTGGCGTCCGGTAGAGGAGAAGGTTTCTGGTTGGGCGGGAACTTACGGCGGCGTGAACGTCATTTCCGGGCCCATTTTTGACTGGAACTTGGACGGTAACAGGGACGACAGGGGAACCAATCACACACAGTAGGCATCTATTTATGGGTTCACCACAAAGTGGTGAAACCATATTGTTTTTGCTGATGTTTCTTCTTCTCCTCCTTCTTCTCCTGCCATTTCTTTAAATGGATTCAGCTTCTTTATTTTGGGGCCTAAGGACCTGAAATTTGGTATGGAGGTACAGTAGGCAAATACCCCCAGGCGTTTTTTTTATTTTTGTGATACAGGGTTTTAGAATGGTTTTATTTGAGTGTTTTGGCTGTGTTATAGCAAATGTATTACTGTGTAAGTGTGCAGTGTTTACCACATTTGGGCATGAGTCATCACAATGGCATGCAAGGCATCAACCAATAGGCATGCAGCTTTCCTCTATTCTCCTTGCTGATTGGTTGTTGGGATTTAACTGGCTTAACTTCATTTACACCTGCACAGAGCCATGCCATACTGACAGTATGTCTGTATTCAAGTGTTTTGGTAGGTATTTTAAGCTTTCCTGCTCCAGCATTGGAATGCGGGCTATGAACGCTTCTTTTTATCTTGAAAATCAACAGTTTGCATTATGCAATCCTAACCAATAATGTAGGGAATAGCTATCCAACTGTTGTAGTCTTAGTTGTATGTTACTTCATACTATAGTTATATCAATGTAAAGCATTGTTTTCCCTTGTGTTTCTCTCATTCTTTCCCTGCCATGTCGTAAAATGTGGTGAAGCCATCGCTGTATTTGCTCCAAAGCAAATGTCGGCCTTTCTAGTTTACTTCTCTTTTCATTATGGATACCAGAAAAAAACGCTCAATGATTTACTTCACGTGGCTTTGTTGCGTGCTGATGAATTTTTGCACTTCTTCTCTAGATATCTACCCAATACTCCAGCACCCATCCCCACTCACTATTACAAGATCGTGACGAGATGTTCGGACGGTGGTGACATCACTTCCGCCTGTCAGGGTGGAAAGGCCGACGTCATTTCCTTTATTTTGCCACACAGAGACAGATACTTGTCGGTGGAACGGGGCTGTCAGGTAATCGCATTGTCGTCTACTAGGCCTGCAGCTAGTTTGTGTTAGCTGGCATTACAAGCTATAGCTAGCTCCCAGCCTGGTATGTGGGGACGTGCCACGAAACTGTTTTTGAATTAAGACCAATCTCGAATTTTTTCGCATGAAAATTACCAATCTTTCTTGCAATTTAGAGAAATCTACCGTAGGCTGACAAATACAAGACATAGTGTGCACGGCCGCAGTACTAGTATTCTCTTGAACTAATAGTAATTGACTAGGTTGTGTTATGGCCACCATATGTAGAGATTTTCCAGCGAAGAAATGGATTTTCGAGAATAATGCTTTCTTTTCCCACTACCAGTTTTTACCGTACTCTACACTTCTGCTACAGATGCTTATTTGAACGTCTTCCTTACAGGACTCAAATAGCCTGATGCAGACGCACGTTGCCCGAGTGAGAGATATCGAGCTGCTGACGGGACTACGCTTCTTCCCGAGCCTCGATACGGACCAGGCGCTGCAGCTCAGGCTCTTTCTACCCACTCAGCTATGGGACTGACGGTTGCGCGCCTAGCCTTCTCAGATATATACAACCTACTTTGAAAATTAGTTAAACCTATACTAATGTCCTCCTCTGCATATCAAAAAGGGCCAACTGGCCATTGTAGCCTCTGTTAAAAGTACTCACCTTCTTTGCCGATTCATCTTCTCCATGAAAGTTTACTATGCAGATGTGATATTATTTTAGAAAACGTGTGTCAAGATTGCTGCTAGGTGAAATAATCTTGGCCTTTTTTGTATTCTTTGTTTCATTCTTTCTTTACTCAGCATTTTCTTTTAGTTGATGTTCCAAAATAAGTATGTGCCCTTTCTCTAGCTAGCAACAACAAGATAACAACAAATAAGGCAACATATCAGAGGGTTCCATGTGATGACCTTCAAATTTTGTATTTGGAATGTTTTACAGTGTGTGAACAATGTTACATCCATGTAAGTGATGAGAAATCTTTAGGAACATGTATAATTTACAAAATACTTCAGCGTACAGCTATCTTTAATAACTCTTCTCCACGTGACGTCGGTGTGGTTTGGTGCCGCCATAGTTACAAAGAATTATCTGTACGTTAAAACCACATGGCTCAAGACGATGTAGACGAGGAGGAGGAAATCGGCGGAAGTGACCAGTTTTCATCCCCGTCCTCCTCTACATCCACTTCCTGTACGTCCTCCAGCACCGACGCCTGCGCACTGACCTCCGCCAGCCACTGGCGACAGCGCCGCTTGTTCTCGTCCCAGTACACACGCACGTCCTGCTGGGCATGCGCAGTGATCTGCGGGCGGAAGTCAGAGGGTTCCAGCTCAGACAAACTGACGGTGAATTCTCCATCGGGGAGATCTGTCTCGTTCAGGAACTCACTGCGCGTGCGCCGGATGCGAGCGCGGTGTACCAGTCTGTGCTGAGGCGGGAACTTCCTTACAGGGTCCGCGGACGATTTCGGTCTGGCTCCCAGTTCTAGTTTTGACTTTCCGGCACTTTGTTCTAATTTACTTCTACTCCCCTGTCCGTGTGTCGATTTTCTTGCACCATGAAAGTCTAAGTCACCGTGTCTGTGCGATTGTCCAGATGTGCTCTCTGTAGGGCTGGTAGCTCTTGTACTCGCGCTATCGTTGTCCAGGCTCGGGCCGTGCCAAGAGGGCGGTTTCGGTGGTCTCATGTAAAGTCCGGGCGGCAGACCACGCTGGAGGTCTCGGTAGTATTGCACGGGCACCTCGCACATGCGGGAGGGTGTGTACAGTTGAGGCTTATTACTGCAGTTTCTAATCGACTCGTTTGGCGGCGCACAGAATGTCCTCGATCCATGATCGACTTTGCCAGAAACCCGATAAGAAATCCTTCCCTGTTTCTCTCCGTGTCTTCTGTGAGTCTGAGAAATGGCCGACGATGTCTTGGCATCCTCTCGAACATTCAAAGCAGGCCACGACAGACTTTTCTTATTTTTCGACGAATCTTTCCGACTATGTATCGAGTCTATCTTTGGTGAGAGCGTCTGTTCCGTTTCTGATCTACATCGTCTGAGGAAGGACAGTTTGGGTCCCCTCTGGGCGGGGTGCTCCTGTCCGGACTCTCTCCCAGACAAACTTTCCGCTTGGGTAGCGCTTATCCCCTTCCCAAACAGTCGACCAAACAAACTGGGGCCTGGCGCGGTCTGAGACTGCACGGCCATGCTGGCTGTGTTAGGTTCGCCAAAACATCGGGATCCCGCGCACACAACGTTGTCAAAACAGTCAGCAATCGGACAGGTGAGGTATTTGTGACGACACCCAGCCTTGACGTGAAAGAGAACATAAACAGCTGAACTTGACAGGACAAGGAACGCTTCCAAAAACATAAAAACAGCTAAGACGGTCTTATGGTGTGTCTGCCATCCAAAGGTTACGACAGAATCATCCCCAGAATATGTTGATGGTAATCCATGTAGTGACGCTTCAGTGAGGAATCTGTGTGTGCAATAAAGCGTACAGAGATCCTCCGCGTGGTTCTTTCCGCTGAAGTAGTCCTGTAGAAACAAAAACAAAACCACTTACTGTTAGAAAAAGCGCTATCAGGTAATCTATTTCTTTTGAGAGTGGTAACCAATGTCTTGTATGAAAATACAAGTATATGGATGACATTGGTATTTGCTCCCGGTTCATCCATACGAGGTACTAGTACTTACTTAGCTACTATCGAAAAGTACGTTGATCATTTCGTTGTACATTTCTCATGAGCATCGAATGAGCGCGGGTTGTTGAAATCAAAGAAAACTCCGAGAAAGGTAAGACACCTTCAAAGTGCTTCTTCCTGTAGATAACTAGCAGAAACCACAGCACATGAGTGACAACACACGACTACTGTCTCACAAAAACCACAGTAAAGCAGTCGGTCCACTTCATGATCGCACCAAGTATGTGCTGTTTATCTCTGGTGTAAACAACGGAATCATCCCGACACCTCACTGTCCCTCCCCCTGTACAACACCTACAATCTCCCACTACCGCGGGCTTAATCCATCTGCAAAGAAATGATTTCAAGGTCGCTTGAACGTGCCTAAAATACAAAAGGACGAAGATAGTGAAGGTAACATTAGAGGTCTGTACAGACCCTGGTTCGTATTGTGATGTGGGCGGTGGATGGGACCGTGGATGGGACCGAAGTTGTTGAGCGCAGGGCGCGTGGAAATGTTTTCAAACCTAACACTAAGGATTCGAGCTAACAAGGTCCAAGCTACAATCCTTTCTGGTATGACGCATGACGAAAATAATTAGGGCTAAACCAGTAGACGTCCTGGGTGGGAATACCGATAGAACTCAAAGAAACGCAAACTAACTACTCGAATACTCGTTTCTAGTCGACAATTGTATATCATAAACCATCTGAGTCAGAGAGTAAGCTAACATTAAAATGGATCAAATAGATATTTGCATTTGAATGAGCATATATATTTCGTATCGTCGCAATGACCGTTTCACTCTGCATACTAGTACCTGTAATGATAAAACAAATATGGACTAAAATCAGTTTTGCAGTTTGAAAATGATATCACTGTACACTTTTATCATATCTCACACTAACAAGCTGTCGTAACTTACGTACAGGTGACCCCCGCGACCCGAAACGTTCCGAGCAAAGCCGAACAACAGTCCTTCCACGAGGGGTCCTTACACGCTCGGAAACCTCCGAATGGTGCTAACAAAACTGGGTCGTTACCTGCTGTTAACCGTTATGCGCGCCTAGTAACAACTTTCCAATCTATACTTGGAGTAGTAGTCATTAAAACACGAATGTGACTTCTGGAATGTTCATCTTGCTCTAGCTCCAAACATTTCGGCAATGATTCTGATATACGGCGGCGACTAGGTATGACTATCATAATAAACAGCCAACGGGGGAGGGGGCGCCCAATAAATATTACAATTCTTGCGACAACGTTAGTCCTAAACGTTACAGGTTTCGAGGGCTAAATTAAGATATATGTAATTTACCTTCTTAAGGCCAAGGCTACAAGAGGGGGTGAATAAGTATTCCTGTGAGGGGGTGAATAAGTATTCCTGTAGTACTATTACTGTATTACATATCCAGCATCTGGTCTGAGGAGAAGTTGGGCTTTAAAAGAGGTGAGAATACCGAGTGCACAATCAGCCTTCAACAGGTCTCTGAGTTTTACTATAGTATAAGTTCTTTTTTGGCGTATGTCATATCGACCGGCTATGTCTAAGACAGTGGCATTTTGGGCATGTTTGTGTTACAAATTCCGTTCAACATTTCTTTTTCATTTCCACCTCCTTTTCCTATTAAAAAGCACCTGACTCTTCAACGTTTCCAGTCCGCAGACTCCCTTGTCTGAGGTTACACGTCTCAGAACCAGCTGCCTCGTGTTCTTAGAAAATAGCAGTGCTAAAAGACCATGAACTTGATGAATAAAGACAGCAAATTAACGTCCCGATCCTTTGATGACCAAGTCATATAGCCACGGATGTTAGCTTCCCTGAATTCCTCATTCTTGGCCAAAAAATACGACAACCAGTATAAACAGCTTTATGTTACAGTCGTTAGTTTTGCCTCTATTTGCAAGGATCTGCGATAACTGAGTAACATTCAACAGTTAACGTTACGCACTTCAATAACCAAACCAGAGACACGAAAACAAAACCTAGACGATCCAGTCCCTCTCACACTAGGAAATTAACGGACGGTCCCCTGAGCCAAATCCTCTCGGAAACGCTGACCTTTAGTTCTGGGATCATTCATGTGATAAACATTTGGGCCGCCAGAACTACGTCATACCCGAAATGTGAACACCATAGGTTTTCAAGAGCGGTGAAAGCGACCCTCCAGTCTCCACACTCACTTTCACTCGCATTGTACTTTCTGGACAATGGCGGTCCCTTTTACACGAACCCTAAAAACATCACCAGCGACGTTTATCCAATTAAGACAACACGAAGAACGAGGTCTGGCTGCTCAATTTGATTTACTCCGCAAACACCCAACACATGGAGCAAACAGGCTTTTGGCAGTGATTCGTTTGTGGGGGCGTCAGATGTCATAATATGGCCTCAACCAGGAAAAACTGTTGGAGTTTGCAGGATATTGCTGCATAGAGGTCACTGTGACAGGGACACTACATCACACGTTCTACTAGCCAAATTACAAACTCCCATCCATGCAGGTTTTGGGTATTTGCTGTGAAGCATCAACTCTACAGCTAGTTGATGCCAACAAAGTCACGACAGTTTTATATTTTGGTTGGCAAAGTTTACACAGTTTGCAGAGTGCTCCCAGAATTTCTCTTGGTACAATATAACAATACAGAGTAAATATACATGAAACTTCATCATATGACAAGAGTAACCTAATATTTTGTTTATCAGCTTGTTCAAAGATCAATTTGTTCTGTTTTGTGGTAGTCCTCTTGCGACTATAACAGTTATGGCTGATCGCTAGTTAGTTTCAATCATGGCCTTCCAACCATCTAACGTCCCGATCAGACATGCACTATATAACGTGTTCAACAAAAATGAAGTATATGTGTAGCTCACCTGAGTACAGTCAGTCACATCTTGTCTCCATCTCATGAACAGCAGACCACTGCAGCAATCCTAGCCCAAACTTTACTTTAACATCCTTCTCAACACAACGCCATAGTCCACGCCATGCTGTTTTTCTCTCAGACGAACTGCTCGCAGAAAACGTGTCAGGTTACCCCAAGTCTGACAACCGCGGTGTAGCAATCTACGCACACTAATTGATTGGGCTGACTGTATGACCACTTGCCTAACTTCGCCGCACACACAAAGCCGTCCTCAGAACTCCTGGTCATGAAGAAAAGTGTGGCAATGAAAGATCACGTATCTTTTAGTCTCAGGAAACATCAAGAATGGGCCACGGTCTGGCCGTTCTTCAAGAAAATATGTTCGCCCTCCCTCCGCGAGTTGACCTATGAAGGCAAGTACATATTGGGCATGTTCAAATCACATCGTAGGTTGCTGTCCGCAGTCTCACAGAAAACATATTTTAACGCAAGGTTGATACCCGGTTGATACCTTTGAGATTCAGAACGATAATCCTTTAAGCTTGACAACAACAACAAAGTAGTAATTCTTCAAGCTTCATTACTTGTTATGTATTGGTGGTTTTAATATAATATTATGTCCAAGCCTCAAGTTTTGTGTCGGCCACGATCTATGTACTCAACCAATCGTCGATATGTGACGATTTCCAAACAATCGTATGTTTCAGTAAACTTCTATTGCGATAATTTTACGTCTTTAACGTTAAAGCAATACGTTTGTCCTGCTGTAAAGGTATTGTACGTTACCTTTACGCTGTAAAGGTATTGTATATAACGTTAGAATTAATAGTAGGGCCACAAAAGCACGTGTTTGTGTTACCTCTAAGGAGGGATAGACTTGTTCCTGCCTCCACCCAGCGCTACGGGACTAAAGTCCACGGAGAGTTTATAGTAGCAGAATTATGGTGGTGTGTACTCTGGGTTTGTCCGGGTGATTCTGGCACGATAATTAACACTGCAAACTCTGGTGAATAATAAGCTTGGACGGGGCCAAAATCCGGCCGAGCTTTGTGACAAACCCACCTTTATCGTCGATTTACTTTGATAAAGTGGCTGCAGCGACTTTGTCTGCTTCCTGAACACTATATACCATCTATATACAAACTACCTCTTGCATACAGAAGTGAACCATATACAAACTACCTCTTGCGTACAGAAGTGAATCATCCGTTGTTACAGTCAACACTGCGTAACGACGAGTTTATTTGTTGCTGCTATAAAAGAGCCCAGGGAGTTGATCCTGACGCATAACGCACAATAAACCAGGGTGGGCGATAGTGACGTTTATTGTCCACAATGGAGATTTAATGATGTTTGGTCATGTACTTCCATAAATCACATACAAACTCCTGGCAATATTTGTGGCGAAAACTTCACTTAACCGTCTAATTAGCGTAACATGACCCTAACATGTCTAAGTTGTTAAAAATAAAACAAATCTAAACCTGGTCTATTAACGTTACCTCTCTTTATCTGTTTCTTTTGAGTTTTCTCTTCAGGTATCATGTAGCTTTCAAACATGTGGAATAACGGTGCAATCTACAGGCTCCTTACATCTATGATACAAAATAGTTGCTGTAGTACGAACCTTGAAGAACGGTTTGTCCCCGGCCGGGCGCGGGAAGCTGTTGTAGTCACATTCCAGCCCGGCTGACGTCAGTGATGGGAAGCATGTGTGCCCTGCTGGGCACGAGGAAATCAATCTGCGGTTCTTGTACTTACATTTTTCTTCACAACTACGAATCGTCTTTTTAACACTATGAGGAGAAATATACTGTCCCCTTGGCCCCGCCCACTTCCCTCAAAAGAAAACGTCGTAGAAACTTTGTGCGAATTAAAAACCTAGGAATAGTAATATTTGATACATTTGACGGTCATGCAGCTATCCCTCATGGCCGAATTAAATTGCCACGCTGTTGCTAGTATTGGTTGAACTGCTAATTGTCATAGACAGTAAGGATCGATTTATCTAATAGGCAGACATGTCGAACAAGTTTCACAGGGTACATGATCTTACAGTAGGTAACGTTAGATCTAGGGTCCCCGTAACTGTTACCCTACCAATCCTCGTTCCAGATCACCAATATCAATAGTGAACATACCCCAGCTGAATCTATCATTATTCTCCGGGCCTTATCCCAGAGTTCGTCAGAACAAAGGGCTCTTTCACGTTTCTGCCAGAAAATCCCATTTATCCATTTATGCTTGTTTACGTTGGCCTTATTATCCAGAAAACACGTCAGGTATCCCACACGACTTTACCGAAGCGTGATGGTTTCCATATCCACATGCCTTCTGTCGCAGCACAATGATTTGGGAACCTGGTGCTTTTGTCGAATTATTTCTTTTCTGCTTACTGAATTATGCCAAGCCAAAGATTTTTAAGCACCGTCGTCTTGTCCGATCTGTGAATGTGTGCACTGCCCTGTTGGGCTGAAACATAACGGAATTTTGTCTACTTCTCTGTCTCTCCGTGTACAAAGATATTGTGTATGCACTTCAATATTTTCTTTTTACAATGTTCTGATATATCCTACAAATGTATATTGATATTAATAGCAACAGCTACAGGAAATACTAGAATGAAATATGAAAATCAAAATAGCCTGCATTTTTTTGGTCTTCGGGCACTTTTAATCATCACTTGAATTCATGATCAGTGCAGTGCTCAAACTTGGTAACACGGACACTGTCACACAATGTATATACTGACATTCCTACCAACAAC